TGACTATCTATCTATCTATCTATCTATCTATCTATCTATCTATCTATCTATCTATCTATCTATCTATCTATCTATCTATCTATCTATCGTCTGTTTGACTGTCCATCTATCCATCCATCCATCCATCCAAGCAACATTAGAAACATTACAACTTTATCTGATGACAACACATAGTAATTAATTAGACACTCTGCAATCAGAGGAATAAAATTCAGCCACATATTTCAGTGCATTTTCACATTTTCACAAAAGCATTTAGCAGGACTGCAATTTCAACAATGAAGAAACACAATTATAGGCTTGATAATCAATAACACAAAAACAAAAGCCAACACACTGACAAAGTTTACTCAGGGAAATACACATCTGAACAGGAGAAAACCCACAAGTTTCCCCCCAAAGCCTTTTATAATGGATCTGCTGAATCCAGAGCGCTTGAGAAAGATGTGTTTGGAGGTCTGATAAAGGAAATGACCATCTGAGCTCTGCTTGGTCCAGGACCAGAGAGGTTTGATCCTGGTCTGAAGATTAAAGAACTCAAGAGTACTCGGAAGAAACGAACATCTCTGCTCTTCTGGTGCTGAAGGACTGCTTCTAAAAAACAGGCAGCACCTGAACTTAGCCCGTATTTCTCTTTATGGGGAATGATTTTAAAGAAATGAATTCATATAGTTTCATGCACAAGGTTCAAATTCAGGGTTCCTACTGTATTTTCATTTTTTTTTTCAGTCATTGATGATTACTAGACTTATAATAATTTGACAAAGATTACACTGTCAAAGAACAATCTACAGTTAATAAAATATTTATGTTTATATTTAGATACTAAAAGATTTAAATACATTTTCATGATTTTTCCAGGCCTTGAAATCCATATTGAATTAATGAAATGATTTATTCATTATTATAAAATCAATTTAAAAAATAAAGTATAAATTAAAAAAAAAAAAATATATATATATATATATATATTTAAAAAAAACAAGAAAAAAAAAGAAAATTAAATATATTTTATTTGTAATCAATTTAAAATACTAAAAGCAATTTCTTATAATTACATTTTTTATTAAGATTTTTTCCCCCCCATGCCTGGAAATTAAAATAATTTCTAAAATAACTCTTAGAAAGCCAAAGGAAAACCCATGTTCAGTGAGAAGGTGTCTCGTTTCAGGTTTTCTGAGGTAAACAGCTGCCTGGAGAAAGGCCTGTGTTGCTTTAACACTCTTATCTGTTGAATATCGGTTCGGGTTCAACTTTCTGCTGGCTTCCTCAATGCACACACACCACAAACACACATAAATGATGCATCTGTGTGGCCTCATGTCATATACTGAAGCTTTCTATCTCATACTGTAACTCAAAGCTTCCTCCTCAGTGAACACAGAGCTCTTATTGAAACTAAACTACTACAGCTTCAGAAAGATGAATGCATTTAAACACACGACCACCCACGTACAGTATGTGTACCATGAATGAAATGCAAGCTTCACCATACAGTAAATGTACAATAAGTACCAATTAAATAATCAAACATTCATCATAAAAAGTCATTAAAGTGACGATGCACTTACTAGCTTCAAGGTCTTGTATTTATCTTTTGCGTTCCTTAAACCGCCGAGATGCACACGGTTTGTTTTGAAGACTCAATCTAGGATTTTTCACAGTCTCTTCTGGATAATTGACTTCATTTCTCCCTCTATCTCACAATAGATACAATACAGCGGTATCTCTTCCTTTACAGCGGCACATAAAGCCACTGAAGGTCACACCGGATGCAGAGATGTGTAATTAAATTAGACAAATGCCCACGTCTGACCTTAATGGACTCGCGAATGCAGCCACATCTCAAACTCACAATCTACAGCAAACCTTAAACTCGAATAATCATAATGTAGAGCAGCATCAGACTGCACACGCAGCTGAGTCACTCATCATCACAGCGCTAGTCTGTCACAAACCCCTTCGAACAGCACCAGAGATGACAATAACAGCTTATCCGACAATATCGGTCCTGAGACGTCTGCTCACAATGCTGGATTATTAGTGATTTACTTTACTTAACCTAAAGAGAGTACATAAATCACTAACGATTTAGCACTAGAGAGGCCAGTGTTAGATGCATCACTCTTCACTCTTATATAAAGTAAATTAATAATCAAATAAATACATGTTGTTGTTTTTTTGCTGCCATTATGGTTCCTTGAAGAACTTCCATAGAGATTTTCCATTGCACAAAAGCTTCTTTAAAGTACCCCAAAAAAACTGGATCTGCATTTTCATGGGTTAAAATAAAATATTTTTATTTAAAGCCTGTAACAGACTTTAAACACAACTGTGCGTCAAAACCACAGAAAAAGTCAATTAATTTGCAACGGCTAAACGTTTTCTACAAGCCAAACATGTCAGTCTTTGAGTAACGTAATTTAAGCTGTGAAATAAACTTCATTCTGTAAAATAAGTATAATGAACTACGCATAAAGCATTTTGAACGTCTCTAGCACATTTTATAATACCCTAAAATCAAACAGTTCCCCCTTATGCACGTTATCACGTCCGTCAAAAACCTAGGCTGGCTGTCGGTTGGAATAAAAACATGGACATAACACACTCAAAGCCATCAATCACTTCACTGAATACTTGCTGGCTAAGAAATAAATAATTATCAACTTATGATCCATCTGTTTTCAAATCTACATCATTTTAATATCACAACATGGATGTCTGTCAAAAAATAACGTGCACAATTAAAAATTTGAGAGCTGAACTGGATGATGACAGCACTGAATCAGCACTGAACTGACTTTAGCTGGAAAAATTACTCTTTGTTATTGTCTTCTTGCATAATTGACAAACTATTTTCCTGTTTAACACTGTAAAGCTGCTTTGACTCAATCTGTATTGTATAAAGCGCTGTACAAATAAAGATGACTTGACAAAACACGCTAGTATTTACGAGAAGCAGAGATCTAGCAAGTACACACATTTCACACACTACAGATGTTTTGATTATACCATCGCTTTCCGAGAAGAACTAGCTGTCTGTCTGAGACGTAACCTTCATAATACATGCACATGAATATATATTTACATCACTGAAATTGACAGGTGATTTTTACTTCTCTCAACTTCTCAGTTGTTTAAAAGATTAAAGCAATTATCAAAATTGGATCAAATGTTGTTTAATCTTCCAATAAAAGATGTTGCATTTTTGCATGATTTGACATTTAATTACAGATTTTGAGCCATATATAGAACACCTTTAAAAAGGCTAAAAATACCAAGATCGTGCAGCCTTATCCCACACTGCAAAAAATGGCTTATCTTACTTAGTATTTTTGTCTTGTTTTTAGTCAAAATATCAAAATATTCTTAAATCAAGATACTTTTACTAGATAAGCCAAATGACTTAAGATATTTAGTCTTGTTTCCAGGGGAAAAAAAAACTAAATTAAGTGCATTTTGCTTAAAACAAGTACAATTATCTGCCAGTGGGGTAAGTAAAATATTCTTAAAACAAGAGTATTATACTTACCCCACTGGCAGATAATTTTACTTGTTTTAAGCAAAATGCACTTAATTTAGACTTAAGTCATTTGGCTTATCTAGTAAAAGATTGACAAACTATTTTCCTGTTTAACACTGTAAAGCTGCTTTGACTCAATCTGTATTGTATAAAGCGCTGTACAAATAAAGATGACTTGACAAAACACGCTAGTATTTACGAGAAGCAGAGATCTAGCAAGTACACACATTTCACACACTACAGATGTTTTGATTATACCATCGCTTTCCGAGAAGAACTAGCTGTCTGTCTGAGACGTAACCTTCATAATACATGCACATGAATATATATTTACATCACTGAAATTGACAGGTGATTTTTACTTCTCTCAACTTCTCAGTTGTTTAAAAGATTAAAGCAATTATCAAAATTGGATCAAATGTTGTTTAATCTTCCAATAAAAGATGTTGCATTTTTGCATGATTTGACATTTAATTACAGATTTTGAGCCATATATAGAACACCTTTAAAAAGGCTAAAAATACCAAGATCGTGCAGCCTTATCCCACACTGCAAAAAATGGCTTATCTTACTTAGTATTTTTGTCTTGTTTTTAGTCAAAATATCAAAATATTCTTAAATCAAGATACTTTTACTAGATAAGCCAAATGACTTAAGATATTTAGTCTTGTTTCCAGGGGAAAAAAAAACTAAATTAAGTGCATTTTGCTTAAAACAAGTACAATTATCTGCCAGTGGGGTAAGTAAAATATTCTTAAAACAAGAGTATTATACTTACCCCACTGGCAGATAATTTTACTTGTTTTAAGCAAAATGCACTTAATTTAGACTTAAGTCATTTGGCTTATCTAGTAAAAGTATCTTGATTTAAGAATTTTTTGATATTTTGACTAGAAACAAGACGAAAATACTAAGTAAGATAAGCCATTTTTTGCAGTGCATGGCTCGTTACTGATGATGTATGTATCTACAGACACCCACAATTCACTACAAGCTTCCCACCGACTGCAATTCTGACTCCTAATGGAACAGAAATAATGACACCGTGAGAGAGACGAGAGATAAAAACACGAAGAAGAACTGAACGTACCTGTTTCGCCCCACAGTGTGTCATGGGCATCAATCTGCACCGCCAGTTCATTAGTCAACGTCAACAAGCCTTCCAGCACCTGCCAAAACACCAGCTCACATCAGTCAAACGCAGTATTAGAACAGAACAGCAAATGAAGAATCAGATACGGGCTGAAACCAGGGTCATTAAACATTGGCTTTGGTGAAGTTACTCTCCAGTGGCTGGGAATTTAATGAGGAACTACAACATGGTACATGATTAAAATTGATTTTAAGAATGACAGTCTGACGGTCGTTCAGAGTTATTATATTTAACTAAAACCATACAAAACATTTTTGTTAATTGAAATACAAGCTTTAGCTGAAATAAAAAAAATTAAAAAAAAAAAACTTTAACCTTATTTTATTTCAGAAACATTTCTCATTTTTGTACTAAAATAAATAAATGCTAATACAAAATTTAATCCAACTTTTCAAATTATAAAAGCACTAATAAAACAACAAAATTAAAATTAAACAAATTATAGAGAAAACAGAAAATATTAAAGAAAATAAACTTTAAAATTATAAAAACAACAAAATTTAAATAAACTAAAATTATAGAGAAAACGGAAAATATCAAATAAAATAAACTTTTAAAATAATAAAAACTATTAAAAACATCAAAATAACTAAAATTATAGAGAAAACTGAAAATATAAAATAAAATTTACAGTTATTAAAAATCTTAACAAAAACTATAATAGTATATGAATTGTACTAAAATAACACTGCCGTCAATTAAGTGATTAAAATGAAAAACATTCACGCTGGGTACAAGGAAAAAACTGAAATAGTGTCATAAGGACAAAGAAATATAGTTAATAAAATAACAGTTTCATGGCTGCTTCATTTTCTCATTTCACCCACTACTGGCAAGATTTGCAATAATTCTCGACAGCAACAAAGAAAACTATCTGGGTCGATCAACAGGAAGTTGAATAAATAAGTTCCGATTGAAGCGCTGATGATGATGCTGGAAGAATCCCAACGCTAAATCAAACGCACAAGAGCTTCTTCCCTCCGTTTCTTTATAGGCTCAAACAGCTTGACCTTAGAGACCAGCGTGATGCTATGGCTGATCTCCCATGGCAACCGCATCCACACAACATCTAAAAGATTCATTATACTTCAAGGCCTGGGTCTCGAGTTCACTGCACATACATCCACTTAAACTCCTTCTATGTGTACAAATATGTGAACTTGTGTATGTGGATGCACTAGGGTCAGAACCAAGACTTAACCACAAATGTGACCCTGGACCACAAAACCAGTCATAAGTGGCACGGGTATAGTTGTAGCAATACATCACAATACAATACACTGCATACTATACAATACAATACATTGTATGGGTCAAAATTATCGATTTTTCTTTTATGCCAAACATTATTAGGATATTAAGTGAAGATCAAGGTTCCATGAACATATTTTGTAAATTTCCTACCGTAAATATATAAAAAATGTATTATCATTAGTAATATGCATTGCTAAGAACTTCATTTGAACAACTTTAAAGGCGATTTTCTCAATATTTAGATTTTTTTGCTCCCTCAGATTCCAGATTTTCAAATAGTTGTATCTCAGCCGAATATTGTCCGATCCTAACAAACCATACATCAATGGAAAGCTTATTTATTCAGCTTTCGGATGATGTGTAAATCTCAATTTCAAAAAATGTACCCTTATGACTGGTTTTGTGGTCCAGGGTCACAAATGACATCGATGGCGATGGAAATGTCTCAGATATTGTAATAAATTCCTATGGGTTAAAAAAAATAAAAAATTCTAAAATATTTGTAAAATATTAGGTTTAATTATGGGTTTAGTGTGGTTGTTTTAGCACATGCTACAGTCAGACAGTTAAAGTGGAAAAACTAAACCTAAAATCAGCTCTGAAAACACTGAATGTCAAGAAAACATCCACAACTGAATAAATCAAAATCTGCTGCTATGGTTGACAGTATCGAGCTGTATATTCGTAATGAACTGTATTCTAACAGATGATTTATTGTGCATTATTTACACCTGCATTTGTATGTGATGCTGATTTGATTTTATAAGTACCAGATGTAATTTTCAGAGTATTAATCATTAATTAAATAACTCAACTGAATCATTTGACACAAATTGGTGACACACTACATGTTTTTAGGTGGTTAGAAAAACAATTTGCCCTCCTAAAAATTAAAAATGCCCCTGTAAATGTGTGTGTCTGTGTGTGTGTGTGGGTGTATGTGTATGTGTATGTGTGTGCGTCTGTGTGTCTGTCTGTGTGTGTGTGAGTCAGACAGTTAAAGTGGAAAAACTAAACCTAAAATCAGCTCTGAAAACACTGAATGTCAAGAAAACATCCACAACTGAATAAATCAAAATCTGCTGCTATGGTTGACAGTATCGAGCTGTATATTCGTAATGAACTGTATTCTAACAGATGATTTATTGTGCATTATTTACACCTGCATTTGTATGTGATGCTGATTTGATTTTATAAGTACCAGATGCAATTTTCAGAGTATTAATCATTAATTAAATAACTCAACTGAATCATTTGACACAAATTGGTGACACACTACATGTTTTTAGGTGGTTAGAAAAACAATTTGCCCTCATAAAAGTTAAAAATGCCCCTGTAAATGTGTGTGTGTCTGTGTGTGTGTGTGTGAGAGCTCACATGAATGTGTCCCATACTGCAGGCCGCGATGAGCCCCTGCTGCAGGGCTTTGTTCTTCAGGCTCAGGTCCTGTTGACCCTCACTGCTCCAGCTCAGCTCCAGCAGACACTCGATGACCTCTGAATGACCCCGCAGGGCCGCATGCACCAGCGCACACTGGCCGCTCTTGTCCACGTGATCCACCTGAAAACAAACCACAACATGAACACTGTGTAAGTGATTCAATATGCACATGAGCGTGGTTTTGATAGGAACTACACCTCAAATATTAGACTTAGGTTAGAGTTATTGATTAAAAGTTAGTTATCGATCAAAATTGTCCGTTTACTTTTTTATCAGGGTTATTATAGTTAACTAAACCTATCATAACATTTATTCTGTTGCTTGAAATAAAATAAACAAACTGCTCAAAAAGCAGGGTAGGCACACACTGGTCAAAGAGTTTTTTTTTTTTTTTTAAATAATGAACTATAAGTTCCATGTGGGTCATCTGTTATTTAATTACTTTTCCTGTTGTTTTATGTTTTTGTCATGGTATCGCTTCAGTAGAAGTATCGGGATATTTTAGTCAGGTATCGTATCGAAGTCAAAAAGTTGGTATCGTGACAACACAAGTTGAAATACCCCGTTTCACACAAAAAGTTATTATTTTATTTTTTTAAACTTTTTTTAATGACACTTCATGTTGAATTTCAATTGTAGTTTCATAATCATATAAAAAAGCATTTTTAAATATGAATCATAGAAATTGCATAAATTAAACATATCTGTATATAATATATATATGTAATATATGATAAATAAAAAATAAATTATAAATTAATATTAATTATATATATATATAATTAAAAAAATTAATAATATATAATATATAAAATAAATAAAAAAATATGTGTATAAATATGCATGTGTATACATATAATCACATATATAAATATATAAAAAATATGTTTATATTTATATAAATATATGCCATAAATATAAAAGTATAAAATATATAATACATATACTAAAATAAATAATTATATTACACATACATACAGTATATACTGTACATAAATATATCTGTACTGACCTTGGCTCCTCTCTTACAGAGAAGGCTGACCAGCTCCAGATGACCAGCGGCCGCTGAGTAACACAAAGCACTCATGCCGTTCTCTGAAACCACATCCACGTTTGCTCCGAACTCCAGCAGCAGGCTGACAGTTTCCTGATGGCCCAGGTGAGCTTGGACGCAGAGGACCGGGGCGTTGTTCAACACCTCCGTTCGGTAGTTTACATTCGCTCCACCCAGCATCAGCAGACGGCTCACCTACAGACAGATACCAGACAGTGTAGAGACTGACAAATGATGCTAGAGAGCTCAAGAACTCTAGACATCATTCACAATTCACAAGGTTTGCTTTCAGCCTCTTCAACCAAATCCCTAAAATCGAGAGTGATTTGCAGCATTTGAACTGTCGGTTGTCATTTATCTTTCTCCAGCCCTCATATTGTGTCTTTCTTTGTAAAAACAATGCCTCATCCTGTGTTTAAAGTTCATTAAGAACAAACTGCTGATTGGTAAAGCATGCTGATCACAGTTCACGGGCTCATTAAGTGCTCCGGTGCGCGGCAGCACATTGTGTCCCAGTCATTAATCAGCCTGGATTCTGCTTTTGATAAGCGTATGAATAACAAATGTTTAATCAGCAGCGGCTGCGTGGCCCAAGAGCGCCTGGAAATGAAACGTGTTTTATTTACCAAAACCACATGAGAATGTTTAGATACCACCTTGAGAAAGAGAGAGAGAGAGAGGGATGGAGAAGAAGAGGCGAAAGATAAATACAAAATACAGCTGCATGCAGCAATCACAGGCCAAACTCGACTAAAAGTCACTGAGAGCCATTTAAAGAGTTCCTTCCATAGTTGCTTATCAAGGACCAGAAAAATTAAAATAAAAAAACTCACAAAAATCTGACTTTTTAGCATGTTAGCATATATATATATACATATAAAACAACAAAAAAGAATACAAATTTAATTTCTTATTTTCCTATTGATTTTGGAGTGAAATGATAAATAAATAAATATACATAATTTCTTGTTTTTATTTCCTTATTTGTTTTCTGTTGATTTTGAAGTTAAATAAATACATTTAAAAAAAAATCTTATTTTATTATATCTGTTTTCTGTTGATTTTGGGGTAAAATGTGACCTGGATGGTGTTTTTAAGAGATTCATCCAATAACATGACAGCCAACAAGAAAAACTGGAAAAAAGGGACAGAGAACAACACGTTCACTCCATCTGTCATCGTGAGCAATGTGTGTTTTCAGTCCATAGCATTCAAAAGCAGCAGCACATCAACCTGTGCTGTGAGGAAAAACCGTGAAGTGGAGGACGTTATGAATGTTAATAGAGGAGGAGGAAAATAAAATCATGGTTCCTGCTGATAATTGCTCTGAGTCTCAGTACAGCGTCCGTCCTCTATCACACACTCAGTCCAGCACAGGGGAATCATCTGGACGACTTTACTGTTTAAATGACCCTTAGAGTATTAAATTAACACTAAATCTAAAAGGGTTTGATAATTACTTAAAATGCCAAGTCTGCTTTCCAGCGTTTATCTGTTGTCTTTTTATAATCTTCAGATCAAACCGATGGAGTGAAGACGTGCAGCACTAATCTGACCATAAACGATGGATTTCAATGCTTGACCAGAACAGGACTCATCGTAGGGGTCAAAGGTCAGTGGCAAATGCTGCATTCTAATTGGCTCTCTCATCAGTGTAGATACAGTTATGCATCAACACCAGGTATCATTTGAGGAAGACAGCTAAATGCATTAAAATAGTAACATGTTGAAATTTCTATGGAAAAAATGAGGAAAAAATGAATGAGGAAAAACATCTGGAAGCAAACAGAAAGTGCTGACCTTGACATTGCACACAGGATTTTTAGCAATTTAATCTAGCAATTATTCTCATTCATATCCTCGATGACAGCAGAAGGGTGAAGGGTGAATTGGAAAGGCCTGTAAGCTTTTAAAATATGAGACTCTTAACAAAAGTTGTGGTTTTTAACATCAGGTTCACTTTTCATGTCCGTTTCTGCCTTTATAAATTCAGATTTCTTTTAATGAAGAATCAGTCGCATGTAATTAAGGTTCAAATCTTTTAATCTCTGAGATCAAACGAGCTTCTTGTGAGGTAAATCTCTGACTAAAAGCATAGTATTTGATGCAAGGCGCTGAAAGCGTCTCTGTGTTGGCGTGGCTTGGCCTGTCTGGAACGGCGCTCCTGTAAAACACAGGAGAAGGGTGGAATAGGCTGCTTTAGTGTTTCCCCGGCTCTCGCTGGTGTTAATTAAGCGAGCTTCATTAAAAGGCCACGCATGAATGCAGCTGGCTTTGATCAGCACTGCATCTCCTCTACATTAAACTCAATCCATCGCCTTTCTTTTCTCCCTCTTTCAGCAGCCGAATAACAAGGCAGGGAACTTTTTAGAAGTCCCTCTTTTTCAGAGCCAACTTTTCTAGTCTGGACCGGCAGAGGGTTCAGGGAGGCGAGTGATCAATAGGACACCGATGGACCAATCAGAGCACTTGGACACCCAGCAATGAGAACAGGAGAGGAACAGAAACCCAATTACAGCTAAAACTGGAGTCTAAGATCACCACAGCTTATCAGCACCTCTAGAAAATGAGTAATGAGTGCAGTTTCTTATCCTGTGTTGACATTTTCCTGCAGCAACAGTACGTTTCTTTACTATAACACATAAAAATTACATATATAATGTGTATAATTTATGTACTAATATATATTATGTATACATAAAGTAAATGATTATCTAAAGAAAAAAGTAAAAATGTGTACACACACACACACATATATTTATATATATATATATATATATATCATTGCAACAGTATAATTAACATGCTATGTAATTATTGTATTATATCATATATGTGCATTATGCATTATATAATATAATATAAATTATTCTAATAAATATTTATATATAATTATAATAATATAATAATTAAGTAAAATTATTTAATGGTAATGACCAATATAGAAGAATAAAGATATTTAAAATGTAAATTGTAAAAAATGTAAATTGTAAAAAAAAGCAATTTGAATTGCAAAAATCTTGATGGTTTTAAAAACTGCATTGTTTTCTTGCTAAATATTTTTATTTTACAATTTTGTCAAGGGTGACTTAAAAAAAGGGTGACCGTAGCGTTGGTCTGGTTTCACACTCTCTTGATTCTGTCGAAGCCCGGTGCGTTTGCGGTCATCTTACGTCATCACAAACGTGCAGAACGTATGACAGAAAACAGAAAACAGAACGTGGGTCAATATATTGTGTTTTTTAAATTAATTTGGTGCTATTATGCGCAGCAGAGTAAACAACATATGGGTTTACTGTATGTGTGGCGCATGTAGACGGCTATTTTGAGGAGACTGCGGATTTCCATTAATTTGCCGCTCTGATTGCAGTTGCTGCAGGCTCACTCTCACTCGAATCCAAGGTAAATCAGCAACACTATCATCACTTATATGTGTTTTATTGAAGAGTATACATTGTAATCGGCTAAAACGCATGCGCAGGTTACTTTACTTCCTGAAAAAGTGCGCACCCGAGTCCGTGTTGCTTTCATATTCACACGCCACAGTTCGAGTGCAATCGAACTCAGACCACCTCCTTCAGGTAGTCTCGGGTTCGGTAACTGCATTTGCATGACAGCTTTCACACTAGCCAAACGTACCGAACTCTGACGTCAATCAAACCAAACATGCTAGTGTGAAAGTACCCTAAGACACTTGCTAAGATACAGCACTGAAGCTCACCTGGGGTCACACAGGAAGTCGGAGCTCTCTCCATCTCCTCGCCACACCAGCCACTCTCTGAAGGACGGGTGGCAGAACATCCGCGTCTTATCCCTGCGCTTGATGAGGAAACACGAGAGCGTCTCCATCCTCTGCTGGAAGTCGTCCCACAGCAGCTCTCCCCGCTCGCTGCCCGCGTTCAGTGCCTGAAACAGCTGCTCGTCCGTCATGGGGTGAAGGGACGCCAGCGCCACGTTGAGAACGGGCATGGCGCGCTCAAACGCAGAATTGGTCATGAACTTCATGTTGCACTGCAGCAGGTAGAGCTCCGACAGAGAGACGGGCACCACCTTGTAGCTTGCACTTTTGATGACCAGATGACCCTTCTCAAAGAGGTCAAGCGTCAGTTTGAGGTACAGGTACGAGCCCTGGCTGCGGGAGATGAGGTGGGAGCTGACTCTGCCCACGATGATGGGGTCGGCTTTGCCGTTGAGGGAGATGTTGTTGAGGATGTTCTGGCTGCTATTGATGCGGTGCTGGATGTAGGCGTTCAGGTCCGTCCCGATCTCCTTGTTGTCTGGGAATTCGTCCAGGCTGATCTTGGAGAAGGGCAGCAGACTGGTGATCTCCTGTAAAGACAAGAAGGGAATGAAGAGTCAAAAATTGTCGAGAAATATATCCAAAATTTTTCCTATTAGTTTTCTCTGAGAAGGACAATGTTGATTTCCTGACTGAAGTTTTGAATTCAGTTTAGTTAACTTTTTCTCCCATGAAAAAGTATATATAAGTAAGTGTTTATTAAAATCTTGACAATACTACATTCATAATTAATTATAACTAGTTATGATTAATTATTCATATTTCCCATGAGCTGATTCGTTAAAAGTCTCATATAGTTCCTTATGAGGAACCACAACAACACTCCTGTGAGACGCTCCTGCTACCTGAAGAAACGGCTGATGAATGGCTTTGACGGCTGTGGTGATGCTGCGGATGCATCAGACTGTCATCATCACACACAAATCAACAGATGAAATCACACCAGCAACCTGACAAAGTGCCTGATTATCAGTTCAAACGATCAAGGCATGTTTTCCACACCGTTTTTCACAAGGAAGAATCATATTTAATCAATCTCATTTATATGCACCAATATTTACCGACATATATTTTCTCATACATCTTTAATGTCACTTTTGATCAATTTAATACATCCTTAATTAATAAAATTATTAATTTCTATCAAAACAAATAAAAACTTACTGATCCCAAACTTTTGAAAGTAGTATATGTAAATATTTGTTTATTAGTATGTATTGTAATATCAGTGCACATGAATAAAAATGATTAAATATGAATCTTGCTTGTCTTTATTTAGTTAAAGTAAAGTAAAGCATGCCTCAACTATGTTAACTACAGTAGATTTTTACTGCATTTTACTTCTTAAACATTTTAAATTACTAGTCTACAGTGGCTGACTGGATATAAAAAAAATTTGCATTTTAAATCAATTCAGAGCAAATACATTAATCTCAAGATATATAACAAATATTGTCAAAAGGCTGAAAAATATTGTAAAGTCCTATTGAGTGAGAACGCCGGACTAGTAGCTCTCCTCACTTATAGTGACAGCTAGAGCAGAACGCATTAGGAGGCTTTCATAAGTACAAAAACACACATTTGCGCTTGTGCACACACACACACTCCAATCTGTCGTCTGACACATATCAAACACTAGATGATTCTGCTCTGCTAGTCGAGCTCTACCTTTCAAACTGTCAAAACGCAGCCAGCACGAACACTGTCTCTGTCTCTCTCTCTCTCTCTCTCGAATTCGCTCCCTTTTCCTTTTGGCCTCCTCCTGTCTGGATTACTGTCTAGCTGTCGTACCATCTCATGGGTCAATGTTCCTCATTAGAGCTACAAAATTCTCCTGCCCAAAGTGACAAGATGAGGTGGAGAGAGTCTGAGATGGTGAACATGATCACCAAACCTGATCTGAGCAGACGAGAAAAATATACTGGCCTGGGTTACAAAAACATGTCACCACCAAATCAGAAGACAAAATAAGAAATTATTATATACTGCAGAAATACTAAGTATATATATGTGTGTGTGTGTGTGTATAACATTTTTATATATAATAATAATATAACATATAACATATATATATTATGTTTTTATTTTTTATGTAAAATAAAATATATAATAAAATTATATAAAATATAAAATTAAATATATATATGATATTTTTATTTTATATTTTGTTTTATTTTGGGGTAAAATATGACTGATATGCAAAACAATATCTCTCTCTCTCTATCTATCTATCTATAATTATATTTTAATACCTTTTTATATAAATTTTTATAACAATAGTATTTTTTTTATATATATTTGTAATGTAACAATTTTATTCATCATTTTGATTTCTTTTGATTTTGGGGTGAAATATGACAAGTAAAAGAAGTCTTCTGAAATTCAGTTTCATGCTCTTAGCAGTCAATAATTCACTGCGCAAAACACATTGTGGTCACACAAACCATATTTACCCTTACTGCGATCAAAACTGTATTTAATGTCATCTAATTTGTCATATTATCCATCTTGTGTAGTTTTGTTAATGGTTTTGAGGATGAGGTTGTCACTCAATCTGTCCATCGGTCTAATTGGACTAGATTCTCTTTTCTAGTTAAGTCTATTATGTATCTTCATGTGATTTGGTGCATTTTATCACTTGTATTTAACATTGGTTTTTGCAGCTCAAAACAGATGTGCCACCCATGCATGTGTCGTGACCCGCAGCTTTAGATACACTATATATTCCCGTCTCACCAGAAGGCTTGTTCTCACAGTGACAATCAGTTTGAGCCAGTTGGGGAACTTGGAGATGATCTTGGTGATGAAGGAGGCGACGGTGTCCCCATAGTCTGGTTTGTGAAACTCCGCCTCGTTCAGCCCATCAATCAAGATGATGCAATCTTCCTCTGGAATCTTCCTCTCTGATAAACAACAGAAAAAATACATTCAAACGCACTTCAGTCATCAGGATTATATGCTTAATGACAAATTGCAAAGTGTTCAGAAAGCAGTGATTCACTAATTATATATATATAATTTTATTGGATTTAAATTTACATCACATGGGTTACTATAATAATAATAATAGGAACAAAACAATTTTTCAGTCTAACTGTACAGTTCATTAGTCTAGCTGTAGCAGTTTATAGTTTATGTCCAACAAAATAATCATTTTGAGTACTAATTCAAAGGAGTATATTTTTCTGTAGCTCGTCCAGTCAAAAATATGCATTAATAAATGGTCAAATGCCAAGAAAGAGGTGAAGAGGGAGCAGAAGAGCTTCAGCACTAATGAGTCTCCTGTGTACGACTGAAATCTCTCACGCTACTTTAGACATGAATCTAGAGTCCAGCTCTTGATGTGCAACGGCTGGTTCTTTCCTTTGAGTTATGTGGTTATTATATGTATTCTGCTCGTGCTAAAATATAAGGAAGTTTTCCATTCAGATCAGACTGACTTAAATAAACAACTTATTCAAATGAATCCATATAATATGAATCACTCTGCAACAGAATAAAAGGGAGATTTAATGAGGAGCACGGATCAGTCCACTTCACAATTAAACTCTTCAGATGCGGCACGTCTTTGTTTGGCCTCAAATGAAGCATCACCCTCCAGATCCGTCAGGAGTCACTTTAATTATTCATTACACACGAGATCCGAGCGACTTCCCAGAGCCGAGCCGTCGCAGCGGACTAACACAGAGACGGAGAAACAGTTCTGCAGCGAGCAACACATCAAGAGCTGCACTACCTCCGCTTTCAAATATTATTTGAATGAGGAATACAGCCGAGCAGCATCCATAAAGCATCTCTGCTTTTAAAGCTCCACCACAAATTTCTGTGCCGACTTCTTCATGGCATGACGGAGAGGTTCAGCCAAAACACTTCCCCGACAGTCGGTTTCAATAAGACACTGTGTGGCTGTGGCGGACATTCATAAAAAAAAGCATTTTCTTTATCAGCAATATTGGCTTCTTTTTTTCTAGTCTAAAAAATCTTAAAACAAGATCAATTTACTTGAAGCAAGACTGGGTTAGGTGTATTGTATTGTTATCTTGTTATAAGCACAACTCTATTGTATTATCTAATATGTTGATATATAAATATATGAGAGAGTATGTAAATATATAAATATAAACAAATGGTGCATCGTTAATGCCCGGGTTTTTGTTTGTTTTTTGTTGTTGTGGTCGTTCATTCATTCTAGCAGTTTTGTCACGATGTCTTATAAACTTTTGTCTGTTTGTGAGGTTGATGCTGTATGAACTGCCCTGTGAAGGGACAAATAAAGATATAATACTACTATATCAATAATGATATATATTTTCTATGCTCTATCTTAAAATACTAAACGTAAAATATAAAAAATAAAATAAAATACAAATAAATAAATACAAATATTTCTGTGTATTGAGCTGCAGATTGGTTCCTGTTTTATTTTTTATTTTATTTTACTATATATTACAATATGTGTATTAGATTTAAGATTATAACAAGGCAAAAAATCCCATACAAAAAAAAAACATTAGAAAAAATGTATAAATAATAATATATATTTTCTATACTCTCTCGCTCTTAAAATAATAAACTTAAAATATATATTAAAAATAAATAAATAATATTTTTTGTGTATTGAGCTGAAGACTGGTTCCCTTATTTATTTATTTATTTATCTATTTAACTATATATGTATATATACAGTATATGTGTATTAAAAATCCCAATGACAAAAAAAGCTTAAAACAAAAATTAAAATTGCTGAAGAAACATAAAATAAAAATAACTTTTTTGGGGCATCGCAGGCAAAGCAGAAGATGGTTTCCCTCAGGTTTGTCGTCTCTCCTCTCGAGGCTGTATTGATCCAAAGCATCTTCCATTTCCATCAAAGAAACACAGGGTTTGTTTATCTGCGTCTGAAACGCACACTTCTACAGTAAAATATCAATCGAGCTGAGCAAAAGACTGGACCGCCACATAAAACAAACCACAATGACCTTGAGCTCTCAGAGACTCGGAGAGAGCCTGAGCTTGAAGAGAAAAGAAATGCACGGATGATGCAGGAGAAACCTATGGATGATCAAGAGGGAAGAACAGAGGCTTTTATTCCTCTTCATAACACGTGACAGATCACGTCAATAATTAAGGAAGGAATTTAACTATTCTGATTCCACTTAATGCTTCCAGTAAAATCAGAGTGTTTTGTAAGAATGTAGACAAACTATTAACTAAATCAAATGTCATGAAAATCATTCATTTCCAGGATTTTCTTTATAAACTGAAGCAGGTTCTCAATTGTCAACCCTACAACCTTATTATTTCAAGAAGTTCAATAGATTTAATTCATTTCAATGAAACAATTTAATTTCTCAGAAATAAACCAGAAATGTCAGTACATGAGCGTATTATCTAACAGTCGTGGGAAAACGGATGTCTCTGCATTTAATGCAATTCTCCCCATTCATACAATCTGACCATCTGCTGAACATCAAACACATGACATCTGACTCGTCCCGTGTAATACAACGCTTCAATCCATGATGCTCCTTCTGTCCACATAACCTTCTCTGAACTGTAACGGATGCAAATATTCATCACTCAATTGTGGAATTAAAATCAACAAGAAATGACATTTGCAACCCATTTTAATTCCATAATGTGATGTATTTCTGAGTGAAATGTGCGCAAGGACTGTCTGGATGGCATTGTTTTTTTTACATTATTGTGCAACTAATGGGGAAAAAAAGAGTGAGAAAATAGCTTAACTAGAATATGAAAATAACTTTTACTGTACCTTCTGATCACACTGCACAAAAGTGATGTTCTTCCTCGGTCATTTTGTCTTGTTTTCCAGTGCAAAATTGTACAGATTCCTGAATCAAGACACACTGAGAAAATGACTTAATATAATATGTCTTATTTTCTGAGAAATTGAACAAAATGAAGTGAATTTATGATCAAAACAAGACAAATATCTGCCATTGGGAAAACAAGTTTTCAAACCCCATTGACAGATATTTGTTCTTGTTTTAAGCATAAACTCGTTAGATTTTTTTTTCAATTTCTCAGAAAACTGGACTTTATCTTCATTTTGCATCTCAGGTAAATGTATCTTGTTTTAAGGATGCTTAGATATTTTTACTGGAAGACGGGACAAAAATACTGAGGAAGACATTTTTTGCAGTGCATGCAACATTTAATGCCCTAACTATGAATTTCTGCTCCAATTAAAGACCTTAATTTGCGGAAGGAAGAATTAACACTTTTTAAGACCTGCAAAAACCCTGTAATATTACTTCCAATAATTTCCAATTACATTGATGTTTTTCTATTAAAACAACAACAACAAATGTGGCACAGAGTTTGCATATGTGCATTTATTTGGCAGCCACAATTGCAAACAATTTAGTCGAGATCCGTGTTTGGATTTATTACAGTTTGTCACTGAGAAGGTTTGATGGCAGATTTCTGCAGCAAACAGCTCAAGCAACTATGAGAAGGAACACAGACTGGCTCTATGTTTGCTGATGTTTTAGGATTCAGTGCTTTTCTGTATTCATTTCACCTTAAGCATGGAAAAAACTTGGTTGTCAACTAATATTTTTAGCCATAGTTTTCGTTAACGAAATGAACACTTCTCATAACCTTATCAGAAACCTGTTTGAAGCAGGTAGATGGGCCTGGTTTGTGTACCTTTGCGCAGGTTGACGAGCGGCTGGAGGATGCCCCTGCGGAAGGCAGCCATGGGGTCCTGCACGCAGGAGCGCAGACTGAGCATGCTCTGCAGGTGCGGCTCTTTCAGCAGCTGCTCTCTGTATGCAGTCAGCTGATGCGCTCGGCACAGGAGAGCAGCCACGCTGTGCACAAACTCAGGAACCAGACACGTGTACGTGTTATCAGACTGACAGTAATGATACGCCACCACCTGCAGAGAGAGAACCAGAGACCTTAAAAACCTCATACGCATCTAATTTACATTCAGAATCATGCAACAGTTACAAGCATGCAATATTTGCTGTTATTTATATACAATAAATATAATATATTGCCATTTTTACTCTACGCATTTGCTCTGAAATGGCTTTTTTAAATCAGAGGAAACAATAAAATAAACAATGCATGTTCTCCACAGTTTTTCACTAAATTAAAAAAGGAGAAGGATATTTCATCATTGCACAAAATATTCATCATATTCAAATTTCATCATATGCACACAAAAAAAAACAGTAAATACACAATTATCTCGGTCCAAGAAAGAAAGAAAAAAACACCCACAAACAAGTAAACAAAATAAAATAAAATAATTATGGAATGTTTAAATCAACATGAAACAACATTTGCACCATATTTTACCTCCAAACGTGATGTATTTTGGTAAAATAAGATATTCAGTGAAAACAAATGCATGGAAGTACTGTATGGAAGAAAATAAAATATAAAAATGTAATATAATTATATACAATATATTTAATATATATTACCATATTTACTCTATACATTTGCTCTGAAATTACTTTTTTTTTTTTATAAATCAGAGGAACAATTATTTTAACCAAACAGAAACTGTAGTCAAATAGATTCAAATTAATATTTAATATAAGAATTAAAACCTAGTAAAAATGCATGTTCAATGCATAAACAATGCATGTTCTCCACAGCTGCTCACAAAATTAAAATTCATCAGTAATTTCCTGTATATGCACAAATACAGCAATGCACTGTAAATATAGCTGACAATTATCATGGACCAAGTTTATGAACATACTGACAAGAATATCTACAAATAAGTAAATAAACAAAATACAATTATAAAACAAAATTACTCAATGACAAAAAAAAACCCTGCATGGAATAACTACATGGAAAATTTAATATAATGTATTAAAATGTGTAATAATATAATATAATATAAGATACTGCAGTTGATGCACAACTTTACAAATATGAAAAGAAACCAAAGGGAACATCTAAAGTAAATTCAGATGAGTTTACAATGATTTTTACCTTGGTTTTCTTATTCTGTGGTAAAATAAAATAAAATATGAAAAATGCATAATAAATGAATAAATAAATATATAGTGAGGATCTAAACAATATAAAATAATATAATATAATGCCATTTTTTCGGGCTACACGGTTGCTGCCAGAAGCAGTGCGGCATAGCAGTTGACAGATCAAACTCTTTTTAAAACGTTTGGTTTCTATAACAGGGCTGCCATCACTGGCTGCTGAACTGAAGCTCATAACACAACAGCAGGAGGTCTGTGAGCCCTCGAGGAGCTGCTCTCAATCCATGTTGATCTAACACTGAAGCCCAATATCATGCCACTGTTTGCACTTGATAAATAATGCAGCTCACAAATGAGAGCTTTTCTGACCCATCCCTGCCATCCAGTCATCCTGCAGTTATAAAAAGATAAAAGTTCAGCAGCATAATGGATAAAAACACGAGGATCTGAACACAGAGAAATGGACAAAGACCATTAAATGAGGAACATCTTCAAAGAAACCAAAGGGAACATCTAAAGTAAATTCAGATGAGTTTACAATGATTTTTACCTTGGTTTTCTTATTCTGTGGTAAAATAAAATAAAATATGAAAAATGCATAATAAATGAATAAATAAATATATAGTGAGGATCTAAACAATATAAAATAATATAATATAATGCCATTTTTTCGGGCTACACGGTTGCTGCCAGAAGCAGTGCGGCATAGCAGTTGACAGATCAAACTCTTTTTAAAACGTTTGGTTTCTATAACAGGGCTGCCATCACTGGCTGCTGAACTGAAGCTCATAACACAACAGCAGGAGGTCTGTGAGCCCTCGAGGAGCTGCTCTCAATCCATGTTGATCTAACACTGAAGCCCAATATCATGCCACTGTTTGCACTTGATAAATAATGCAGCTCACAAATGAGAGCTTTTCAGACCCATCCCTGCCATCCAGTCATCCTGCAGTTATAAAAAGATAAAAGTTCAGCAGCATAATGGATAAAAACATGAGGATCTGAACACAGAGAAATGGACAAAGACCATTAAATGAGGAACATCTTAGTTTATACGCAAAATATAAACTGGGAACAGGGAACATCTTAAGTGAATTCAGATGAGTTTACAATGACTTTTTCCTTTTCTGTGGCATTAATCACTGTAATGGTCAACCTGAGCTGGCTTATTTCGTAATTCTTTATTCAACTCTTCCCTTGAAAAACCTCACATACCCAAAGGAAGCATCAGATATAACAATGTATTAAGTGAAATATTTCTCTCTGAAGTGAAGCGATGTCCTAACAGCAGGGTTCACCACCATTCACAGGAGTAACGCTCATGATTTGTGAGGAAACCTGGCAGAGACGGGTGAGACAGCAGGGCACCTTCTGAGGGACCCTCTTAATTTGTCTTAATTTAATATTGAAACCTCTGTTTGACAGATGGGGATATTTCCCATTTGGACAGGTGGGGTTAATAGGAACAGCACGGTCCACACCCTGAGATGAGGTCTGGGAAAAGAGCATCAATCTAAAGCTCCTTCAGGTGGCGGGACCGTAAACTCGCTCGCTTTGAGCCAACACTCCAAAGTGCACATTAACTGGCTCAATGTCTTGATTGCTGTGCATTTCCCTCGACCCTTCAACACACTGATTAGACCAGCATCACGCAGGATTTAGACCGCAAAAGAAATCTTTGGTTTGAGACACTCAGCAGCAACTAAACTAGGAGCAGAACTGTATATTCTTTTGGACACATAAAATGTCTTATCACAAAGTCTACACACGTGTTCAACTATTATGAATAGAATAGAATAGGCCATTCAAAAAAATAATAAAAAAAACAATGCATAATGGAAGTATTATAGAGAAGGGTATATAGTATAGTGTAGTACAGAATAAAGTCTGGGTGCTTCTTAAATTAGTGAGGGTGCTTACTCTCTCTCGCTATATAATATATTTGTGCCGTCCATTGCTATGGCGCAAGAGCGTTCCCTTTATAATCACTAAAAGCTGTCACTCATCTTAATTCATCACAATCTCACAAAGTTACGTTACAATCAATTAAGTTCTCAACGCTGCACAATCTCTGAACCAATCTTACTTCTGAAATGTTATGTCTGAGTGCAATAGAATATAAAAAAATGCATAATGGAACGAATATATAATATTATAATATACTATAATATAATATAATAATATCATATAGTATAATATAATTGAAATCAACATGAAACAACCCATTTTGCTTCCGAAATGTGATGCATTTAAGTGAAATTACTATATAAAAAAACATGATGAAAGGAAATATTATATAATATAATATGTGACCCTGCAGCACAAAAGCAGTGTTAAGTCGCTGGGGTATATTTGTAGCAATAGGCAAAAATACATTGTATGGATCAAAATGATAGATTTTTCTTTTATGCCAAAAATCATTAGGATATTAAGTAAAGATCATGTTCCATGAAGATATTTTGTAAAGTTCCTACCGTAAATATATCAAAACTTAATTTTTGATTAGTAATATGCATTGCTAAGAACTTCTATTGAACAACTTTAAAGATGATTTTCTCAATATTTAGATTTTTTTGCACCCTCAGATTCCAGATTTTCAAATAGTTGTATCTCTGCCAAATATTGTCCTATCCTAACAAACCATACATCAATGGAAAGATTATTTATTCAGCTTTCAGATGATGTATAAATCTCAATTTAAAAAAATGTACCCTTATGACTGGTTTTGTGCTCCAGGGTAACATTGAAACAAACTTGAAACAACCCATTTTACTTCCGAAATGTGATGCATTTAAGTGAAATTACTATATAAAAAAACATGATAATATAATATAATATAATATAATATAATGTGAGGTCTCTTCCTGTCTAAGTATGTTGAAAGTCAATAGTCTGGTGTGTCTAGAAGATTTACCACCTGCATGTATAATTGCAAAAAGGTATTAAAAAGATAAAGTTAATCAATTCTCCATCAACACAGCACCAACTGCAAATATGTGAATTAATCAGTCAACAAACTAATGGAGAGAGCTTTACTAATCAGCCTGCGCTTACGTGACATGATGCATGCAGGGATTGATTGGAATACACCCAATTTAATTTGCAAAACGCCACACACTCATTTGTAAAAAATGTAGCATTACGCTGTAAACTGATTAGTGATGAGCGTCTAATTAAGTGCTTTTGTCTTATCCGTGGATGTGTAATTTGCCGCTGTCTGCTGTGCGCTTGTCGTCCCTGAGCCTCGGCATCCACGTGGCTGCAATTCTCTTTAAATGCAACCAAATGACCACCCTGCTCACCTGTTGCCATGGTAACATGCGAGGGACGGCAGGTCCCCCGGGAAACATGGTTGATGCATCATTTAGCTCACATTGTGTTTGATAGAGGACAGCTCAGCCGATTAAGACGGAGATGCATGGAGCTCGACTGAAATCCAAAGCACTGTGCTTGTACTATGTCTCTGTACACAGCCTGTCTGATATCACTCGAAAATCTCCCGTCAGCATTGCAATAGTCTGTTTATCAGAGTGTCTTTCTAAAATAATGCGTACCTTTACCTGGGATGACATAGATCTATCAAATTCATAATATTGTACATGTTGCATATACTAAAATAGGTAACACCAAATTGTCAGCATCCATTCATCTGAATAACTAAAAGGTGCTTAATCGGATGAATGGATGTTTAACCTCTTAATTCACAACCCTCATCTTATGTCATATAGAAAAAAAAATTATAATAATAAAAATAAATTAAAATATATTTTGAATTCTTGGTTCAAGTTCATATATAGAATACAAACAAACTTTTTATTGTTGTAGAATAAAATAAATGAATAATAAATTAAAAAATAATAGAGGATCTACACTCTTGGTTCAAGTTCTACATAAAATACAAAATTCATGTTTTTAT